AGAGTTGACGGTGGGTGGTGATGACTAGCTGCCTTCCCTCTAGTCTTACACTGCTAAATTAGGGACAGCTAGCACAGATAGCCCTCGTGTAGCTTTGCGCGAAATTAAAAAACGAACAATCCTTTCATTTTATTCTTATAAAACAAGAAATGTAATTTTACAGTCGCAGTAATGAAGACAATAAAGATTATTAGAAGAAAGCGCTAATTATAATCAATAATAGTAAACCAAATGGGCTTAGCAACAAAAGAGTTTTTGTTCTCTTTTCTGATATAAGCGATTTTACTAGGTTGCACTAAAAAAATTGAACTTAATTTATTACAGTTTTACATGTCAGACTGTCTATTGAGAGAGTGGAACGAAACTATTTCGTTAATCACACTGTTTGCATATCTGACGCCACTTGTTTGCTAAGAAAGACACTTGCTACGAAGAAAGCGCGCGTCGATATTACTTGCTAAGCAATTTTATATTGTGTCTTTCCCTCTCTTTATCGTCCAGCTAATTGAAACACTGCGCACTGCAAGAATGGAAAACTACAGGGAAAGCTTTCAAGGGGTAAAAGCATTGTTCGTTTCGGTATCTATAAGTGGTGGCTCTGAATTGATATGTTATTTTAATGAATCAGAGCTCGAATATTGCATTGTAAGAGAGGGTAGGTAGAGAAACTGGTCATCGATAACCTAATCGATATTATAGTCTGCCACGTATAAATGCCTGAGTTCGTGTTTGTCACTCTTTGCGGTTCTAGAAATACAGTAATACAAGGATAGGGAAGTAGTAATATTTCCTATTTAGTTGTGGATCTAGAAATTTAATACTACAAGGGTAGGGAAGTAGTAGTATTTCCTTTTTAGTTGTGGTTCTAGAAATATAATACTGCAAGAGTAGGGAAGTAGTAGTATTTCCTTTTTAGTTGTGGTTCTAGAAATACAGTAATACAAGGGTAGGGAAGTAGTAGTATTTCCTTTTTAGTTGTGGTTCTAAAAATATAATACTACAAGGGTAGGGAAGTAGTATTTCCGTTTTAGTTGTGGTTCTAGAAATACGGTAATACAAGGGTAGGGAAGTAGTAGTATTTCCTTTTTAGTTGTGGTTCTAGAAATATAATACTACAAGGGCAGGGAAGTAGTATTTCCCTTTTAGTTGTGGTTCTAGAAATACAGTAATACAAGTGTAGGGAAGTAGTAGTATTTCCTTTTTAGATATATTTATTTGTTTCTGTATTAATTTAAATATAAACATTAATCTTTTGGGGGAGAGCCTGGAGTAAGGTTTTGCTTGTTCAGACCTTTAGAATATACATTTTAGAGATTGTTTTGTAAACTTGGGATTTTCATAAAATATACCTAATATTAAAATACTACGTTACAAGAATTTATTTCAGTTCAAAAAGTAAATTAATCCGAAATGATCACTCAGAGTATGTAGCGCCATAACACGAAAGTTCTCGTGAATAACGAATCCTTTTCTGATTCATTTTTGATCACTTAACGCGTTGAAATAGCAGGTATAACGTTTTACATTTAGGAGCATTTTTAAGCCATTAGATGAAATATCTTATGGGAACCGCGATGACTTATTTTAGTTTCAAGTATGAAAAAATGAAAATAAATGATTATTGGAATTAATTGAAATTTTTAAACTTTTTTTCCCTTTGCTCGTGCACAAAAGAGCAAAATAACATCATATGTCGAAAGAATGCTATTTGAATTATAAAGTGGAACTATGGGAGCTAAAAATGTTACTTCTCGTGTCACTGATTAGTTAAGAAGTTGAGAATGATAGATCACGTAATTGAACAGTATTAACAACTTTTAAGGCATAAACTCGAAGGTTATGCCCTAAACGATACATAATAGATCTATAAAGAGAAATTTACATTCCACTACAGCAAAGTACCAAGTGACGTATTATCATCACATTTACTGTAAGTTAATGATTTTGAAATTCAGTTTGGGAATTGCATTTTATGACTCGTGGGTATAAAACTAACGTACTAAACACGAGGTTGATAACATCTAGACACATACTTGAAATTCATATTTAATAATGATAGAAGTATATACCTAGGACTTTAGATTCTTTAGGCTTAGAATTTTTCGATTAATAAAAAAGTCTCGGCATCACGACATTATATATTTAATATAGGTTTTTGTTTAACATGGAAAGGTGTTTTCCAATTCATTTTCAAAACGCCCCTATGGGATTTTTAATTATGATTTAGAAACCTATGGTTGGACACGACAAACGCTCCATCTGTTGCCTCTGTTGTAAACGAGGAATAGTAAGTCTTCGAAGCGCCCTTGAGCGGTCAGCATATTGTTGCGGAGAAAGTATTCGGTTAAAAGCAGATATAGACAACCAGAGCGAAGAAGTGGTTCGCCTCAAACTCAAACTTGTACAGGTAAAATATATATCAATCTGATATTTTCAAAGAAGTTTCTGAATTAGCAGTTGTGGAGAGCAATAGGAAATATTCCCTTTTTTCGCTAAATAAAACTGATTTACAGGAAAATAACAAAAAAGAACTGAAAAAAGAAATCACAATGTAAAGGGTTTTTAATAAATTCAGTTAAATTGTTTCGATATGGTTGAAAAAAAACAGTGAAACATTAAGTAAAATGAGATAAAATCAAAAAGATAAAAAAAGAGTCGAAAAATTATAATGTTAAAATATACAAAATAGATGTGTACAACAGCATATATTTTGCATTTGTCTAGATATTAATCTTTTAATATAGATGACAGATTAATTTGATAATTAAAATCCATTTAAAGTTTACCTTTGTTAAAGTTTAGAATTCGTGATATTGGTAGTTAAACAATTTTCTTCTTTGTAGCAAATATATTTTTTGAATATAACATATTTGTAATGCTTCGTAGTTGACAGTAGTGGATCAAGTAATTCTTGGTAGTTGACAGCAGTATATCAATGATAATTTGTGATTTGGCGGTTTCAGTATGAGTTGTCTACATTCTAGAGTTTCCCTTAAAATATAAATAAACGTTATTTGTTGTAACAACTAGAAAAAATGTTCTAAGCTGAACAATTGGTTTTTCTCTCTACGAGCACTGAAATATTTATCAAACTACATTAGGAAACTCAGGAATCAATCTATTATTGTTTGATATACAAAAATATATTTATTCGACTATTTCATATTTTTATTCTTTGAAAAGCAGTACAGTTGTCAAAAAAACAATTTACTGAAACTTTTAGAAATTAAGTGTTTATTTCTCTTTGTAACTCTCAAGTATGTGGAATTTTTCATCGATCGTGGGGTTCTCGGGATCAACAAGGAGGCAAACCACACAGTTCTGGAGTATCGGGGCGACCCTATTGAACCCCAGACCAGGTCAAAATTCGACAGTACGAACAGTCTTGTGGTGCCTGTTATGCCCCCCACACTGATAGGCATCTGCCGTCTTCTTCAGATCTACTATGTTTTAAAGGTGAGCTATTAATTTCACTAGTAAAGGGTGTCAGGAAATCATGTAACCATCTAGCCTTGAGTTGCTGCCATGGCTACTAGACTTCCAATGGAGGTACGTTGGAGCATGCATGGAATGTTATGGCAGACGATACCAGTCCCGAGATGAGTGTCAGCAAGTTCAATAATATATATCAATAATTTGTTAACATAATTTCCAGACACCCAATATATTCTGTTTTAATTCGGGATTCGATCCCATAGTGCAGCTTTGCGGTAATGCACGAACAAGATGTATTTGTTCAAACAAGCTTCAGGAAATTCTGCAGTATAACGAAAACACATCTGTTGACATGGTTTCCAGTGGCGCTTTCCCTCTCGTGATATTTGTCTGCCACGATTTATAATTAGTTATCTAGTGATTGCGTACTACTTAACTCATTTAACTTGATATTCAGAATTATGCTTACCCTTATTTACACATTGATTGATCAATAAAGTTAGGGATAGATTCCCTATAAGGATAAAGCAGTAATAATATAGTTGTTAGCCTACAAACAAGTGAGTATGAATAAGGCTATCCAATTCTCAAAGGGGGTTGATGATGGGTACGTGTCTAGCAGAAGTATTGTTATTAGACCGATAGAACGAATATAAAACAAAAACATCTGTCATCAAAATCTAAAACCAGTGACAATCGAAATGAAATACCTCTGCCTTTAGGAAAAGCTATTGCCAACAACGCTGCCGGCTGACAACATAAAAAGACAATGGACAGAGTTCAGAAGGGCAACAGGTGTTATACTGTGCCACAGTTGACTGTTTCTTTCAAAAGTGGACAAAGTTCAACTACATCTAGCTATATGATACAAAATACATTATAAACATTATCGTATGTCAGCAGACAATAGACTGAAAACAGCATGTTTCAGATACAAATAGGAAAGCACCGCTTCAGTGGAGTGACTGGAAGCGTCTGATCTGATCATTTATATTTTATCCTTTTCTGTGTTGACCGGAGAGCAAAAAATGTAAAGAAAACGGCGGGAAACATTCCAATATGTTGCATTGTTCCAACAGTGCAAACCGATGGAGGTAATCTGATGATATGAGGAACTTCCTTGTAGCAGAGGCTGGCCTTTTGATTCCTTTAGACAGGCAAATAGCATCCAAAGTGGTGTTGAAGGGGTCACATATCATTCAATACTTCGAAAAAAACCCTCTTTTTGATCACGAATAAACGTTAATTCCCAGAATTACCATATTTACTTGCAGGTTAACAGCAAAACTAATATTCTTCGCACAACTATAATGAATTCACGCGTAATTATAGTCCAGCGTTTCCCTTATTCATTATAATGAAAATGAGCAAATACCATACCGTTTTATATCGTATTGACCAGGTAACCACCATACTGTAAAATCTCGTTCCGACTAAGATAAATCCCTCTATTTTCATTTACTCTGGGACAATAAATACACTTCAGAAGAATGTGGCCCTTTGTTCTCACATACATGTTCTTAGCCAGTACAGTACAGTTCCTGCCATATATTATATAATAAAGTGAAAAATAAAAATTCCAAAAGATGTAAATACATATAATTGTGACATACACATAAATTCTTGTAATAAGTAGATAATACTCAGTATATTTTTTAACCTTTCGTGAATATTTATATCAACGAAACTTGTTCATGATGGAGTTCTCGTCACAATGCATGTATATACATATATATATATGTATAGATGTAAACACACATAAGAAAGATACGCCATGAACAGAAACGCAATGGCCCAGCATGGCTAGGTGGTTTGGGCGCTCGACTAGCAATCTATGGGTCGCGGGTTCGAAATCCTGTCACACCAAACATGCTCGCCCTTTCAGCCATGGGGGCGTTATAATGTGACGGTCAATTCCACTATTCTTTGGTAAAAGAGTAGCCCAAGAGTTGGCGGTGGGTAGTGATGACTAGCTGCCTTCCCTCTAGTCTTACACTGCTAGATTAGGGACGGCTAACGCAGATAGCCCTCGTGTAGCTTTGCGCGAAATCCATAACAAACAAACAAACAGAAATGCACCTCGTAAAAAAAATCCTGGCGACACCCATGTCTTTCCTCATCACTTGCACCCAACAACACCGCGTTTCGATTTTAATGTACAAAACGATAACAATCCATTGCTCTTATGTTATCCAAAACTGGTTTAAGAACACAGCAGTGGTCGAATTAATTTTTCGTGGCTAGCACAACCACGGGATCTCTATCCACAATGAGCATCTTTTGAATGTTGCATCATTCTTTGCATTCCTCTGACGACAGATCCATGTTAACCAATTTTAGACCAACCTCACAAACCGGCAGCGACCAAAAAAAAAAGACATATGCTAGTATCTTGTGAAGTCTATGTCAAGCCAACTTCAGACTATTCTCGCGGCCAAGAGTGCTCTAACCTGATGTGAGATAGCGATTTTCACAGAGTGGCAATATGAATTATTTTTGAAGAAAAAAAAAGATGCAAATTACTGAATACTTTCAGTACTGTAAAGTTTTAAAATGAAATTCTGATTAAATTGTATGTATGACACTCTGTAAGTATGTTTAACAGCAGTCATTTGCCTCTGTTGGTTTGTCTGTCAGCAGGTCACTGTTTTGAATTGCTCATAGCCTGTAAATAATGTGTACATGTTATAATAATGAAAAACTTTAACTAAACGGAAAACAAGTTCCCAAAGGTAAAGATGAACATGCATTTTTACTTAATTTTTACTTTCCTCATTATATATATATATATATATATATTCATTTATTTACTTACTTTAATTTTTAAGTTACAGGAAGGTTTTAACCTTTTACCCTACTACTTCCCCTTCCCTTCCTTATTTTAAGGTTTAAGTGGGTTCGGACGGAC